GGTTGGATATAAGAACGCATGTTCGAATTGGAAAAACTAAAACTTCAACTAGAAGTTAATCAGAATTTGCAGAGACCATCTGTTGCTCAAGAAGCAGAGCAAACGAAGTTTGATTTAAGTCGTATACCTCCGAAGTTCAACCCTAAAAACGATGAGATCGTTCTTTACCTAACTGAAATTTGTTAACATACCTGAAACAAACTGGATCCCATATCTGAGTGGTTCATTACCCCCGGTAATAAATCAACTAGTTGCTAGAGAAAGTGAAGAAGATTCAAAGGGTTAAGCAAAGGTGAAAGATATATGCTGTTGAAGTGTTATAGACTGACGGTTGATAGATTTCGACAATTGTTTTCTCAACACAATAAAGGTGCACACAAAACATATAGAGATTTTGCTTTTGAAGTGAAATCTTATTTTGAAGGATGACTTACTGAGTTGAACATCTCCAAATTCAATCAACTTCAAGATTTGATCATTGCTGATCAAATAAAGAAAAATACACCTCCTGATGTCAAGGAACATTTTATGGATACTTGGTCAGAGCTGAATGATCCATTGATTTTAGCCGATAAGCTTGATTTTGAAAATATGAGATATAGCATGAAGAAAAATGGACCCCCTATTGCCAAGAAATCATATTTTAAAGAAAACGAAAAATTTGTTCAAGATAGGTGATTTAAATCTCCTAATCCTAGAGAGTCCCCAAACCAGAAATGCGAATTTTGACGGTTTGAAATTTTATAATGCCCGACCAGAAAGAAAAACTTCTATACATTGCTATGGTTGTGGTAATCCTGGATTTATTCAATCAAAGTGCCCTAAACGTAATAAGTTTAAAGGAGAAACAAAACCTATTGTGAACTATATTAACTTGTATGCAGTTGAATTAACGGATTTGCCGTCTAGTTCAATCTTTCTAAATGTTTGTGGAGAGAGTGCAGCTTTTTGCGCTGATACCGGTGCATCCAATTCTATTGCTGGAGAGAGATTCTATAAACTGTTGAAAGACAAAGGTTTTATCTTTAACAAAAAGAATATTACAATGGTATTTGCTGATGGTAAAGAGAGAAATGTCCAAGCTTTAACTACAGTAGTTAATCTTAATGTAGAAGGAAAGATAATCCCATCGCCCTTTGCCAAAAGCTAAAGGTAATCGAACATTACTTGGGACTGATTTTCTGCAAGCTGTTGGAATAGTGCTCAACATCCAGAATGGCACTTGGCATTTCAGCGAAAATCCTGAGAAGCAGTATCTCTTTTACAAAGAACCATCTGAAGGTAAAGTGACCCCAAAAGTAATAGTATCTCAGAAAATGACATTTCCAGAGACATCAAAGTTCACAGACAATCCTGTTGCTAAATTAGAAACATCTGATGCCGTAAAATTAAGAGATGATGAAGGAAAGCACTTATCAAAAGAGCAACAATACGAAATAAACTCCTTGTTAGAAGAATACAAAATTATCTTTCAGCCAGGGGGAGATGCCACTCCTTATATTGAACACCGAATTAAAACTGGAAATATCTTACCTGTTGCTGAACCTCCCTATTGAATGACCCCTGCTAAAAAAGAATTGTTGAAGAAAGAGCTAGATTCATTACTCGCTGAACGTATTATTGAGGAATGCGAATCTCCATACGCTAGTCCAGTTTTGTTGGTTCCTAAACTTAACGGTTCAATCAGATTTTGTGTAGATTACTGGAAACTGAACTCTACTACCATTCCCGATACATATCCATTACAAAGGATGGATGATTTGTTAACTGAGGCCAAATCAACAAACTTCATGTCCACTATAGACCTAAGAGCGGGTTATCATCAGATAAAGGTCAATGATGCAGATCAAGAGAAGACAGCCTTTATTTGTCCATTTGGTATGTACAAATATTTGCGAATGCCTTTTGGTTTACGCAATGTGCCTGCCACCTTTCAACGTCATATTGACAAATTTCGATCTGGACTAAAAGAGGTGTTTGCACTATCATTTCTAGATGATATTATAGTGTTATCTGAGACTTTTGATGGACATTTATCAGATTTAAGAAAAGTGAAAGACTTTCTATGTTCAAACTCAACGCTAACAGGGGCAAGTGCCATTTTGCTTGTGACCGAGTTAAATATTTAGGTCACTGGATAACTCAAGAAGGTGTAGAGGTTGATGGTGATAAAGTATCTTCAATTCAAAGAATTTCTGAGCCAACCTGTGCAAAGGAAGTTCAGTCCTTTTTACAGACTTGTTCCTAGTTTCGTAGATATATCCCTCATTTTTTCGAAGTAGCAAGACCCTTTAGTGACTTAAAAAAAAAGAATAAACAATGGACATGGGGTGAAAATGAACAGAAATTATTCGAGGAGTTGAAGAGAAGGTTGATTTCACCACCTGTGTTATCTCAGCCTGATGGAACAAAACCGTTCCATATTAAAACTGATGCCAGCAATTATGCTCTTGGAGCAGTTCTTGTCCAAGGCGAAGGCCCAGAAGAACATGTTATTGAGTATGCAAAGTCGATTGCTAAGTTCAGCTGAAAGAAATTATTCAACTACCGAAAGAGAGGCTCTTGCAGTAGTTTGGGCCCTTGATAAGTTCCGTGGCTATGTGGAAAATCAAGAAATTATAATTGCATCAGATCATCAACCGCTGAAGTGGTTAATGAGTATCAAATCACCATCTGGTCGCTTGGCTCAATGGGCCCTTCAAATTCAATCATATCATCCAAAAATTCTTTATACTCCTGGGAAATTGAATGTAATAGCAGACCTTCTTTCTAGACCAACTTACGAAATTAAAGACTTAATTTGTGATATTAATGCTGTTTCTATAGATTTACCGTGGAGGAAATCTAAAGATATTCGTGATGAGCAGATGAAGGATGAAGATGTTAAAAAGATTATTGACTGTTTTGAGAGTGGTGAAAAAAACGAAAATTATATAAATTGGACTTGTAGAGGATATTTAATGAATCAAGGCACCTTATATGGCTATTCATCTGAAACAGACTCTGAAGAAGCTCAGTTAGTAGTCCCTTGTCAAGAGAGAGAACGAGTGCTACAACAATATCATGATGCTCCCACTGCAGGGCATTGTGGAGCTAAAAACACTTACAATAAAATTTCTCAAAGATACTATTTTCCTGGAATGAGGAAATTTATTTCAGATTATGTTAAAGAATGTGCTGAGTGCAATCGGTATAAACCGAATAACCAGAAACCAGCTGGATTGTTAAGAACGCCGATTTATGTTCAAAGATTTGAAACCTTCGCAATAGACTTGTTTGGTCCCGTCTGGAAAGAAATGGATTTTTGTAATTGAAGACACCAGCACTAAGTGGGTAGTTTTTTGCTTTAGAAGATGCCACTGCAACTACATGAGCAAAAATCCTAATCGAAGAAGTTTTTTTACGCTATGACTTGCCCAGAAGAGTAATATCCGACAATGGCGCGCAATTCGTCAGCGCTGTAATGCAGCAAACATGCAACTTCCTAGGCATTAAACAAGAACTCATACCATTTTATCACCCCCAAGCCAATCCCTCTGAGAGGCAAAATAGAGACTTAAAACCTAAATTAGCTATATTAGTCGGCGATGCGCATGATACATGGGAGGACAAACTACCTCTGATTCGTTTTGCCATGAATTCTTCGAAGTGCGAAACTATTGGTCACACTGCAGTATTTCTGCAATTTGGTCATGAACTTCGAACAGTGGATGAGGTCAACCATGATTTAAGAGGACTCATTGACAATGACAACTTCGTACCTGAAATCAAGCCCTACTTAAAAAAGTTCGCTCGCTTGACACCTCAAATCAGAGAGCGTGTAGAACAAAAACAAGACCAACGAAAACAATATTTCGATAAAAATCGTCGACAAGCTTATTATAATCCAGGTGATAAAGTATGGATAACCCTACATCCAGTGAGAAAATCGAAGTATAAGAAAAGTAAGAAGTTGATACCAAAACGTGAAGGACCTTATGTAATCTTAATAAATAGATCACCTACCACCTATGACATTGCTGATCCTGATGACCCGAAAAACGTATTAGGAACTTATCATGCAAATATGTTAAGACCTTACAATCTACCTCCTTCAGGTGACCCAGACCCTGCTGCTCCCCTGAAGAAAAGAGGTAGACCAAGAAAATTTGTGAGTTCACCCTCCAATACTGACTCTTCGTTGGGACGTCGTCAGAGCCCGATGGGGAGTCTGTAGCAACCAACTGATGCCCTGTGGTGCCACCTATGTCCTCACCACCGGTACTCAGTTCAAGTTCGGATATGAAACCTCTAACATGACTATTCCCCTTTTCCGAGTTTTCTTAAATTTTAATTCTTTCATTTACTCTTGTTCAAATGTAATTTATGTTTGTATCTGTGGTTATTAATTAAAATTCTTTATTAAATGTACCTTTAGTCACTTTTGTCCTAATTTACAATTAATTTCAGTTAGCCGATATTCCTTTACATTACATATATATATATTTATCAGAACGTAACATTTTCAGTCGAAGCGTTTCTCTAATTTCATAGAAAACTAAATATTATATAAAATTTAAACTCTTTAGAGTAATATTTAAAAATAATACTAATAATTAGAATAATTCTAAAATGATTTAAAGAGACAAATTGAAAATTTTGAAAAACTAATATCAATCGTAAGAATTTTCATTTTCTAAAAATAGTAAATGATCCCAAATTCAAAAATAAAATTACTTGTTTAAAAAATTTAATCAATGAAGTTTTTTCCCCCTTTATTCTAGTGCCTTTTAAATTCAGGAACAACTAATCGGGTAGAATAGAGAAGACACTTCAATCACTTTTGTACACATAGTTTCCGATGATTTTAATTTTTAAGATAATTTCTTTTAACACTATATTATATTACTACTTCTCCTGAATTTTTGCATCTTGCCAGAGTATAAAACTAATTTTTCTTATTTTTTTCTCATCAAGAGTAGAAATATTTTTTCAATAACATTTACAAAAGATATACTCACCGTTATTGTCACCTTGTCTCATCATTACATGTAATCGAACATCATCTTCAGGGATGCCTTCCATTCCATATATTTCAACATCTACACTGTTTCTGGAGGTTTGTGCATTAGGCACTTCTTTAATAACTTCTTTGTGTACCTAACCAAATTTAGCACATTAAATTAAATGCTATTCAAACTAATTTAAAATGACCTTCATAAATATATTTACCTGCATACAATGAATAGCTAAACCAGGTCCCGTGTAAAGCTTCTTGAAACATATATGGCATTTGAAATGTTTTGCTTTTTGATGCTGAATTAAAATTTTTTCATCTTCAAATTCTCTATTGCAATACCTTTTAAAAAACTTAAGGAAAATACAATTTTACTAATGAATTTTAATCTATATCAAAGTAGATAGTATCCCAAAAACGCTATGACCATTAAGTCAAAATAATTCATTTACAAACACTGCAGAACCAACCAACTATATTTATGCAATATTTTTCTGTTTAAAATTTAGTATGCTAATAGAATGAAAAATTTTCATAAAATTATGTAGTTCATTTCATTTATGTAATTCAATCCCATAACAGTTAATTAATTACATGGTCGGAAAGATTTCTTTCTTGTGATCTACAGCAGAATAATCACCAAGTCGAGGCAACTTACGGGTGTGAAGCGAGGCAACTTACGGGCCTGTGAGAAACTAAAAAAAAAAAAAGAAATGACAGAAGGTAACTAACTCTGCGGGTATAACTCAAAGCCATCCCTAAGGTCAAACTTCCACATGTCTTTTTTAAAAAAATAGTGCGTGGAGTCCCTCTGCGTGGAAGAAGTTAAACTTCGCAACCTGCGATGTTAATTGTAGAAGAATCAGCAGTCGTAGAAGGATCATTAGTTCTATTCAACGACTCTTTTTCCTGCTCCGCTCGCTTCCGTGCTCTGTAATCACGGCAATATTGTGCATTTTTCCCTCGTGGACCTCTTGAACCAGTGGAAGTGCTTGTGGTTGCCTCATCGTCTCGCCCTGGAAAATGTATTTGTATTAATAATGTATGCGAATGCGTCATAATGTAATTTCAGAAGAGAAAACTTAACAACCAATTGATATTCACAAGAGACATACCTTGACATAACCTTAAATCCGTCGCATTGTTTTCAATCATTTTTTACAATTGTTATCCACTAAATTTGAAAATAAAAAATACTACCCTATTAAATTATATGTGTATCAAGACAAACTGAAAAATTATTTATAGAAAAACAATACTTTTATTATTTTTATGCTAGTGAGATCCAAAACAATATGGAAATGAATGAGGGAAAACTGGATCCTACCACTTGATTTCCCGGCCAATAAAAATGTAGCGTTAAACGTTTAACACAACAGTGTTGGAAGTCGCATAACTTCAATAAAATTTTTTGCAAGTTTTAAGTTCATGGGTGTATTGGCAGGACAGATCATGATGGGAAAATATCCCTAGCTGTTTTCTGCAATGTTTTTTTTTTCTTTCGGGACATTATTTCCATTTCAGTTCTTGTACCAAAAAAGTCACCTTATTTTGATTGCAACTGGAGAGCTGCATACAAGAAACTAAAGAAATATAATAGAAGGGAATCAACAATCAACTTGAAAGGTATAACTGAAAGCCACTCAGAGGAAAAAGTATTTTGACACACTTGACAAAGTAAGTTTCCGTATCATGATTTGCGGCATAATAATCGTCATGTCTTGCTAACTTCTAGGCAGTGGCTCATGGGAAACTAAAAAAAAGACAATCACAGAAGGGGACAACTGGGAGGGCATAACTTATAGCAACCTTCTGTCAAAAATCTACACGTTTTTAACAAAACAATTTGCAAGTTTAAATTCCATTTGGCACATTGGGAATTGTGGTTGGTGTGACAGATCAAGATATGGAAAGATCTTCTAGGTCTATACCCCTTGCATTCTTTTTAGTGTAAAAAAGTCACATTTTATTTTTTAGGTATAACTAACGTGACCATTTATTTTTTGACTCAAAACGGGACATAGGTTTATTTAGGTCAAATCATAGGTAGTCAATGAAAAAAAAAAAACTTTTTTAAAGCTATTTATTCAGAAAAATTTAGTTGGCTTAAAAGTTACAAATCTCAAAATATAGGTACCCAAAATGTTTAGTTATATTTATCAGAAGAACAAATTCGTTTTAATATAGCTGGGGACGATTTCAAGTAAGAATGAAACTCTTGGCACGTTTTTTTTATATTCACTTTATTTATCAACATCGCCTTTAGAACTAAAATTTGTAACTGGGTTTTCTCAGATGTCCACAATTTGTTCATAATAGAAAATACTCTTTCTACTGGAACATTTGTAACAGGCAAACATAAAATATATTCATTTACAATAGAAAAGCTTTCATGCTGAAGATTGTTGGCGCGAAAGTGTTTGAATACTTCCACCCAACGGGTTTCCGTGGAAATATTTAAATTATTCCATTCCGTTATTTTTTTCGATGTAATGCAATTAGAAATTAATGAAAATTCTTCAAAAACTTCAGTATCTTTATTACAGTCAATATATTGCTTTTCAATTAATACATCCAGAGATTTTTGAATATCTTCCCATGTGGGGACCTTTTTAAATCTGCCCAATAAAATATATCCATTTCTTTGGTGAGAAAGCAAGTCCACTGCTCCAGATATTCACGGCTTGTTTTATAAAATTCTGTAGCCGTCCTTTTCACAAATTCTTCATCAATATCAGTACCACTATCTTTCAATTTTAACATTAATTGACGGACCATAAATGGAAGAAACTGATTGGTCTGTTTCTGAGTTAAATTGTCTTTTAATTGATTGATTCCCTTTGCAGCTTCAATTGCCGATACAGTCTGACCTTCAAGTTTTAAGACAGCTTGATAAAAACTTGCTGACTGAAAAAAATAAAACCACAATTCGGATGTGGGATCTTCAAAAAAGTTTTTTAGTAACAGGAGACATTTTTCAATACTCAAAAAGTAGCTTTTTAATGGCTGATACAAACCCTCTCCAAAGCAGGCATAAGAGCAAGCCATCTGGTTTTATAGCCGAGCATTTGTTGATATTCGGCACAAAACTCCTTTAGAGCTTCAACTCGAATTGTATAAATATAAAAAAAATGAATATATCTTCACAATAACGCTTTCGTAATCTACGAGTAGCCCATCTGCAGCAGATTTTATTGCATTGTGAATTACATGGGCTCCCCATCCAATACCTATTAATTCTTTTTTCAGAGATGGTTGTAATTTCGTTCCTCGCCTAACTGCACCTCCGAAATTGACGTTGTCATTGCCCCACAAAATGCTACGACTGTCAAATTATTATCTGCCAACACTTGGTTTAAATAATTGACAATGATGTCAGAAGTTTCACCAGGTTGGTCTTGGAAATCTAAAATTTTTACTTGCACACCTACGTAAGGTTGAAAAAAGCGCACTATAATGGGGTATATTTTCTTGTTACCGTGGTTTTGTATTAGTATTGTAATACAATTGCACTATCAAGGTCATCTTTTAATTCTTTCATTTCTGTATGCATCAAAACATTTACTACAATAGCTTCTGATTTCGTACTCGCGCATGTAAATTTGGGATCAAAACATGTGGTTTTCTTGTATCATGTGATAAGCCCAGACGCCTTCTGCCGCGTCGATAACCAGATTGAGTAGCTGGCCGGCCGTCTGCTACTCAAATTTTCGCGTGGTTTCTGAAAACGGGACAATTTTGCGTCCCACAGTCCATTTCGGGGACACCGGGACTCGTAATTGTAAAAAGGGACAGTCCCGTTCAAAACGGGACGTCTGGTCACGTTAGGTATAACGCTCCATCAAATTAAAATGTTAATTTTTTGAAGAAAAAAAATACTTTAATATAACTCATGATATTCAAAAATATTACTACGTTCAATTAAGAAGAAATATTTCATCAAAAAGGATACCAACACCATGGCTTTGAGGGCTTCTTTTTCTTTCGACCCATATTTTAGTATATAGAATAAAAATGAACAATTTAAAGAGAATAGAAATACACAGAAAATATTTATTTTTTAACTTTTAAATAATATTCAATCTTCAATAATACTGTTACTTATCCGTATTTAATATAAATTTTATTGACAAACATTAAACTAAGATACAAATAACTTCAACATGTCGCATCGTCACCAAAATAGGGAATTAAAATTAGGCTGTGGCTATTCAGCCGGCAGATAACAAAATGAATTTTACTTAGCCGTTTTCTGTGTATCAGAAATGAAAAAAACTCAATGCATTGAAACAGTTTAATAAGTATGAAATGTCTATATATTTTCGACATATCAAACTAAAACTGTCGAAACTGAATCTCTTCTAAGTGAAATTGCACCGACAGTCGGTTTTTTTTTCTTTCAAGAGATTTTAAATTGAATTGAGTTTCAATGGGCTTTTTTATTAGTTATTATGTACCATTTTTTCAATTAAAATGTTTTACAAGTTTAAGAGATTTTTGGAATGATGTATTAATCGATTAATCTATTTATCGATTTTTTTTCTGTTCCCATGCGATTTAAATATTGCCTTTTCATTAATCGAAATCATACTAATGATTTTTGCCATGGCGGATGAAGGTACGTTATAATGTAATATATCATGTTAGTTTAATAAAATAATATTCGTTTTCAACTAATGATAAAATACATAAAGATTTGCTGAAGACATGCCGCTATAAACTTGTGAAGTGCTAAGAAGTACTCCCTGATTCAATTTCATTTACTTCTTATAGACTGTTTTAGTAAACACAACCTCTGATGTCAAACTTGCAATATTCAAGCTATATCTTTGCTTTGCATAACAATTGTCTCTTTATGAATGTTTTAGCTTTATGTTTCCAAAATTCCATTTTAATTGGTTTTAGATATTTGGAATTGTTTTATTTTTACATCCCTTACCGATTTCGAATATTTTTTGCGAATGATATTTAGAAATTCTGAATATGATAAGATGTTCTGCAATTTTTTTACGCTAAAAAATTGGCAGGATAACACTTGAGTGAGCCAAATTTAATTTAAAATTTGCCAAGTTGACTGTTATAACTAATTAAAATTGACTTCCCAGTTCTTGGAACTTATTTTATTGTCATTCAATCATGCAGTAATTATTAGATGTGACTGAAAGAGATTAACTCGTTTAGTCTTATAAACTTATCCTTTAATAAATTGGTTGATTTTAATTCGTTATGTTTAATAAATAATAAGAAGAATCTTAGATTTCAAAGCTTTAAACCAGGTTCTCTTTGTGCATTACCCATAATATTCAAATTGAACCACTTATTATAATACTGGGTAATCGTGTGCCCCACCATAGGAACTAATTATAGGCTCAGTAGGGGGTATATAATGTGGTCCAATAGTTTACAATTTATGTATAATAGTGTCTTGAATAGCATTAAATTGAGGAAATTCGAAGTCAATATTTTGTATTACAATACGGTCCTATACCTCCCCTTAATATTGACCTATAATATTCAAATTGGTCCCTGTTTTATATTACTGAGTAATAGTGTACTCCACCAGAAGAAATAATTATAGGCTTATTAGGGGGTACACAATGTGGCCCTACAGGTTACTATCAATGTATATATACAATAGTGTTGAAATGTGGTTTAATGTTAAATTATTTTGTAAAACAAATTGATTGTAATTAATTATTTTGTTATGTTTATTTATGTGGCAACGGTTAGCCCATACTTTATGAGTGTGATTATTTGCAGTGGAGTTGATTATTTGGTTGTATAAATGTTGATTATTAGGTTTCTTCAGTTTTTTTTTTTAGAGTAGTTACTGACATTTAAAAAATCATTTAAGTTGAAACTAAGGAATTAAATTGTTTTTATGTACTTTCTTGAACATTGAGCAGTGAACATACTTTATAAAATTAGCCTATAAAATTACTAAAATCTGTACCTAAAGTTGAATGTGAGAAGGTACCGCTTAACGGTAGTAAATTTGGCTTGGACAGATTACAGACCCCTGGCTCTATATGGGACTAGAAGATTTCTGTATCAATTTCTGAACCAAAATGGTTGCCAAGGTTTAGTGACAACTAGGTAGAAGCATGTGAGAATCTACATAAAACTTGGAAAGCTCAAAAGAGTAAAACTCATAGCCATTATATATTTATTAAAATTTAATATTACTTTTTCGAGTGGGCAGTTTCACTTTCAGTTGACGAGATTTTTCATGTGCGATTGATGAAATTAGGTATAGTTATACCTGATGGATACCTGAAATGTTCAAGTCACAATCATTCGTTACAGTTTTTTATATTAACATCAAAGTTTTTATTTTATTCAAAGCTTTTTATTTTAGTATTTACTTTATTTATTTTGTGTATAATTTGCCTGCAGAAAGATTAATTTCATAAATTGAAGGACATTATGAAAGGAGAAATGAAAAATTTGTGTGTTATAGGCTTTAAAAAAGTTTAAATATAAATTAAAATGTCGAAAAGAGTTTATGAAATGTTTAAAAATGTTATGAGAAATGTTTAAAAGAACCCTAGCTGTGCAACAGTTATTCTTTTTTTTTGAAGTTTAATGTATTTAATTAGATTTTTATTGTTTCATGCTCTTTGATAGTAAATCAGGTAATTTCTTGGGCTTAGCATTATACATATTTAAGTTTATTTATTTTCATTTGTAGGTGCATCTTCCAGTAGTAATTCTGTGGATGAGGTAAGTTTAGTTTTTTCTGTTTAATTTTTAAATTAATTAATTTTATTAAATAAAACTTAACTTTAATAAACAAAAAACCTTAAATTTCTTAATCTTATAAATTTAAATTCTTGATTTTGTGTATTTTAAAAACTAAATATTGTAAAAATTATTACAGGTTGACGGAAGAATAGATAGCCAACCTCTTTCAAATTCGACATGTGAGTATTGTTATGCATTCAAATCTTTCATGTATAGCATTGTTGCCTATTTTTTCTCCAATGTTTTAGCTTTTCAAACTATGATCTAAATTAAGATATATTTATTTTCTATGTGTTATATTAACAATATCATACCTGACAACTTTCACGCATTTGGCATAAAATTTTATTTTTATATTTGAAGTGGTAGTAAATATATACTATTTTTTTCTTTTATAAACTTATTTTTCAAATGATTTTGATCACCACTATTCTTAAAAAATTAAGCATATAAATTAATGTGTTACTACCATGTTTGTGTGCTAAAGATTTTTCAAATACAACATATTTTTTTGCTTACAATTGAAATTTTAATTCCATTTTACGACCACTGGGAAAAATCATAATGGAAGATATCAAAAGTTGGCAGGTATGCCAGTGTTTTCATTACAGAAAAAAAAATTGGAGAGAATTTCTCACCCTTTCTCAAAAACAGGGTGAGATTTCAAAAAGTTAAGTGAGATTTCTAAAAATTAAAAAAACACGAATAGACTTGGATAAAAAATATTTCTTTAATTATAATACATTTTTAACATCTTCTAATTTTTAAAGCATTGGATATTTTTGCTGGATCATCATATGGAAAATGTTCATATATCTACTTTTTCATCGGCTATTCTCATTAGGTTGCTCAGATGATTATTAGTCAATCTGTTACGAAATTTTGTCTTAAATCGGTTTTGTGTGCTAAATGACCTTGCAACATATGCTGATCTATCCTCTACATCTGCCAGCATAGGCTTTTCAATTATTTCTGCTATAGAATAGTGAAGCTCATTGAAGTTATTTCCATGTTCATACTTCATGCTATGTCTTCCAGCATAGCATAGTTTTCACAGCCTTTAACTTTTACAAATTGCTTTAATTTGTCAATGAGGGAGTTTGGTAATTCATAAAAATATAGCTGACTTTAAATAACTTATTATAAAGGACTCATTTTTTTTCTCAACGGATTTTTTATTTAGCTGAAAAATATCCATATTTGTTTCGTTTTGACTGTTTCTACCGACATTTGTTTTATTTTCATTTGTCCGTTACAGAGTAGAAGATGTTGCCTTAACAAGGTATTTGTCCATCTTACATTCATGCATAAAAGAATTAAACATCTTACATGAAGAGACCTTACCTACGATGAACACGTGGTTGCAGAGAAATGTGTTTTGAAAGTGGTTCGGGGGAGGGGGTGTTCTGCTGTTAACTAGCGCTGTAGTGAAAACACTGTATGCAATATGTAAAGTTAGTTAAGTTAACAATCATATGCATAAAGTTAGTTGTTAAAATTTTAAATAAAATGAGGGCAGATCTCTTTACCATAGAAATAGCAGATATCTTAAGATAGTTTTACTTAAATAGATTCTAATTACTCGTTACAATGTTTTCTTAATATTATGTTGTGATTGTTTAATATGATAGCAGTTTAGAATAATGTCTTACTGCTACCGGGTGTTTACTAAATTTACTAAAAACCATCGTCCGTACACGAAAAACTGACTATCTCCCCCTTACCAGTTATTATGAAGGGAAAAGAAATGCTAGGTTTAGGAGGAAAGTGTTGGTGTGTCGTAGAGCAAAGATCTCCATAAAAACAAAAGAGGTGCTTTTTCAAAAACAAAGAGACCTTCAGTGTTGAAAAGCTAAATATATTCATTATATCTGGCTTGAATATTGACCTGCAATTTTTAAAAATGTTGAAAACGCCAAAATGACTTATTGACGCTTGTCATCTAATTATCAAATTGCTACCAAACCAACACCCAAAAGACATTTTTACAATTGTTGCGAAGAATTGGGATAGGCAAAAACATTGAAAGCCATAACCTGAAAATGGTAAGTACTTGTATGTACTGGATAGTGGCATTTAACCTTAAAAGGAACATCAGTTTATGGTATACCTGGGAGTTGTTTTAAAAGAGCAAAGCTCAACTATTTAAAAAAATAAATAAATGTCTATTATACTGGTAAATTATATATTAAGACAATATCAAACTATTATTTTACAAACAAAATTTTTCAGAAAAATGAAAAGTGATGTTTTAAAAAGGCTGTCTTCTTTACTACGCAAAATATAATGGCTTTTTATATTTTATTTCAGCAAGTCCTGATACTGACAATTGTGTAGTTGTAAGTAGTTCAAGCCAGCCAGAAAGTGTCAATCAAGGTAAAGTTATTTTTAATATTTGTTTTTGATTTTTAATAATAATATCCAATGTTAAAATTAGAAGTCAAAATTATATTTATCTGTTAAATGAAAAATGAAATGCTAATCATTTTTTAATTTATTATTTTATTACATACATTCTGCAAAATATCTTGATAATATTAAGCATTGAAGTAAATAATAAACGATCCCTAAGTATAGCACAGAAAACTATATATTTTTTATTTAAATAAAGTGAATGGCAAAAAAAAAACAAACAACTTATGTTAGAATTTAATTTATTGGAATTTAATTGTATACTTAGATTAAAATTTGCTTCTATTATTTTAAATATTTAAATCTGTAATTTAATTGTGTTCTGCAATTTTTAAATGCTGTAGTTTTCCTTTATTCTATAAATACAGAAATTCTCATCTTATTATAAATAATAAAATACTTGTAAAAAATGAATTTTTTTATTTAAAAGGTTTTATTAAATAGTCTGAAATTTAATAGTACATCTAGTTTGAAAACCTGTAATTTAATTATTGTTTTATATAGTATTTATACACTATAGTTTTCTTTTTTCTTACTCCTCTGCTGTACAGTCCATGAAGGACCTTGGCCATCTTTACCACACAGCTCCACATTTAGTCTTTATCCTCCAATTTTTGATTTTCATTTTTTTCAGATCTCTTTCTACCAGAGTTGGCCGTCGATTACAACTGTAATTGATTACAGATAATTACAGCTATGTAATCAATTACTTGTAATCACGATTACAAGTAATCAAAATTTTTGATCACATTAGAGTAGAGCGAAAATGTAATCGATTACATTTTTCAATTACAGTAATCAATTACTTGTAATCATGATTGCAAAGTTTGATTACAGCTGTAATCATGATTACATAGTCGATTACAGTAATCAATTACTTGTAATCGTGATTACAACTTTCAAAAATTTTTGATTACAGCTGTAATCATGATTACAATTTTGATTACAGTAATCAATTACTTGTAATCATGATTCCAAGTAATTGCGATTACAAGTAATCACAACGAAAACGATTACGGGTAATTACGATTGCAAGTAATCAAAATATATGATTACATGTAATTTGATTACATGTAATTGTGATTACTTGTAATCAAACTATATGATTACAAGTTATTACAATTGTATACTATATGCAAATTCATTATGTAAGTATACATGAGTTTACATATTTTTATGTACATAGAATGTACGCACGCATGAGCGTACAATTTGCGATTCCTATTTATACAATGTATTCACAAACGTTGTTTGTATGTACTATATTCATAATTATATTGTAATATACTTTATGCAACACGCATATGCTTACAACATATAATTATGCATTTATGAAACATGTACGCATGTATGTTAGTTTGTACAAAAAGGCAATGTTTTGTATCTTTGTATACATAGACAATATTTGTATGAACGTATATGAAAATAATGTTTATGCGTTTGCATGCTTTTATGTACTTAAGTACATACATTGTATAAATTTACGATAATAGCACGTATATACAATGTACGTATTTATATGAAATTGTACGTATTTACGTACAATATGTAAGAATGTTAAAGGTGCAATATATGCACATAGTTGCATAAATAAAATGCGTACATGTATACATGCACATTTATATATACATCGATATATGCACACACAAAGTATGTACAACGTACGTATGTACTTGTATAACTACATACTTAGTTAATACTTATGTGCATGTAATGTATGGATGTACAAAAAAATAGTTATATGCACAGTGTACGCATGTACATAATTACAAGTAATGTATAAATACATGCGTGCATTTAAATATATGTAATTACAATACATACATTAGAAGAATTTATATAAGTAAAGTTATTAAAGTTTGTTTTAAAATTTATTCTAAGGCGTATAAAACTCGACCTCATATTTTTTAGAAAGCAAACGATAATTTTATTTTAAATTTCTAAATATTATTTCCACACATAAAATTTTCCGTTTTTTTTACCATTTAAAATATTTCTATGAATCATGCATTATGTTATTAGTAATGCTTTAGTACTTATTTCTGTAGCATGCTTTAGCACTTATTTAGTAATGTTTAAGTACTTATTAAAAAAATAAATCTGTATTGTCAAAAATTTCATGAAAATACCTGAAAATAATTTTTTATTCAAAGAATTTGAAAATGATATAGAACAATTAAAGCTGAAAACTAAATTTAAATATCGTTTGATTTTGTCATTTAACTTGCTTGAGTCATTAAAAGTTAACTTACATGCATTTTATCAGGGTTCCTACACGGTCAGGAAAACCTGCAAAAGTCAGGCTATTCTAAAATTAAGCTAAAAAGTCAGGATTTTTCTTACATATTCATAAAGTGAGGAAAATAAAAATAAAAAACTATAGTTCATTCAAATACTGGACAGGCAAAAATAAAGTTTCAAGGAAAAATTCTGTAATTCAAAATATGTAATTTAATCATAGTAACATTCCTCTTTCCCTGGTAGAACCTGTCCTGTTAGCAATTTTCCTCCTGTTTATCCAATGATAAGGAATTTTTGATAGGGTTGCTAGGTTTATTGCTCTTTGTGTGAATAACTGGTTTACAGACAATAGTAGCTGAAACAACAGCAGAAAAATCAAAAAAGGAATTTTTACTGTTTTGTGATGCTGCAAAAAAAAAAGAAGAGCAAAAGAGTTTCTTAGAGTTTAATCCACAGCAAAAGAGATTAGATAATTTTTTTCGAAATATTTGCACAGAGAAAAAAAATGTGGAAATATGTGGGAGGTTATAAAAATTGTTTTTATCCTCTCTTCGTGATAGCGCAACAGTCGAAGGGAGGGTTTTCAATCAATAAAAGCTTATTGGTTGAAAACCTCAATGAAGACTCTATTATTTCACAGAGGCGTGTGTATGATTATGTTTAATTCATAAATGGAATAAAAAATATAGACATTAATGAAAAAATGCTAGATACTGTAAAAGGATCTAGAACAAGATGGAGACGTGCATTAGAAGCCAAAAGAAAAGGAAAACGAAGAGAATAAAAAAGCTTAAATTTCTAGAAAACGAATAAAGGAAAAGATAGATGATTTGAAATTAAGAAAATCTAAATTGACGAAAACTGCTGCAACGGAACTGGATGTTCTTGATTCAGAACTACAAAATATGTTGAGAAATATTATGTAACATGGGAGCCCCTGAGTTTCTCCGGAAGCTTACAGTATTACAGAAATAAATTTAAAAATTCTGGAAAAAAAAGAAGATATTTTTGATTTTATTTTTTTCACAAGCTGCATAATTTTTCTATCTGAATTTTTATTTGTATATAATTAACTTTTCTTGACTTTTTTCGCCTTTATATTTCAATATTATCTTTTTAAAGAAAAGTCAGTTTGAAGTGAATTGGATTAAAAGCTTTGTTGGAGTGGGAAACGGCAGGTCAGGAATTTTGTAGTAAAAGGTCAGGAAAAGCCTGCAAAAGTAAGGATATTGTTTTCTCAAAATAGTGTAGGAACCCTGTTTATTTATTGCATTGTACGCATATTTAGACATAAATGTAATGCGCATATGTATACGTGTAATGTATGTACGCATGTACAATGTATGCACATACATTCATGTATTGTACATGCATATATAGTGCATATGGATATGCATACATGGAACATACGTGCATTGTACATGTGTGGATACATTCATTGGACATATATACATTGCACCATATGCATAGATAGGGATAGCATGCATGTACACATTTATTAATGTATGCATGTACTCATGTATGAAAGAATTATGCTCAATATATTTATGCACATATGTACTGTATATGTACACACATATGAACATTATATGTTCATTTCATCATCTGTACGCTTTATATATATACATCTGTACAATATATACAACTGTACAATATATGCATCTCAAATGTGTGTATGTACATATGTTATGCATGTCGAATGTGTGTATGAATATATGTAAAATATAAATCTGCCCAATGTACGTATAATCGTACACAAATGTACTATGCATATTTGGATACATACATTGAACATGAACATATTGTGTATATGTACATAAATACATTGGATATGTATATCATGTGCATGTATATATATATTGTACATACTACATATATACCTTTATTGTACATGCATACATGTATTATACTGTTCATAAATAAATAGCACATGCATGCATGGGACATACATTGTACACACAATATATGTATGTTCGAACAAACAACAAGTACTTGTATATGCATGCGTACATGAACATAGATATACATTTTACATACACAAATATTTGCATAAAATGCATATATTCATTGTGTATAAATGTACATGTCTACATTGTTTGCGCATACAAACGTAATTATCTATATACATACGTACATATATTTTATACTTGCAATATAAGTGTATGTACATGTGTGTGTGAAACTAAGATATCTGAACATATGCACTAGATAAAATCATATGTACATAAATTTTAGTTACATTTATTTGTACGTATACAAATGCGTACAAAATGCAGTACTTGTAAATATGTGCAAAATGTATCGTTATAAAATGCATTATACTATCTGCTGTAAAATATAATCATTTATAAGAATAAGTCTTGTAATTGTGTATTTAGATTACATGTAATCATAAT